CGGCGGTCAGAAGCTGAAGAAGTGAGAGTAGCTGCCACAGATCAAATTTGAAGCCGATTCATTCAATGCTGGTCTTCCCACATTGTCAATGCATTGCAGAAGCCACGTGCACCTTGCGAAAAATGTGTGCCTTCGTGCTGCAGTCTTCCTCCGATGCATTCGGCTACAAAGGTGTAAGTCTGAGTCTTGACTCCTGATGTTGTGGGCTACCCGGCTACCCGTCGTCATGTCAAGTGTAACGCGGCAAATTAGATGCGAGACGACTTCGCCCGAATCGGTGTGATGACTCTCCCACGTCTCAGGCCCCACGGGTCTCCGGGGTCGTTCACTCACAAGCCGGCGTGCGGGCCTCTGTGTCTCTGCGTTTCGAGAGTCGCCGTCTTGGCCTCAGACATTCAAACTGGCCGGCGATCTTCGAGGTTGTTCTTAGCGGCGTATTCTTGTACTTTTGGGGGCATCGTGGGCATTGTCATCTCCGAGGCAAACGTCCGAGCCTCTTCGCAGCCCATGCGGCAGTCGGTGATCATGCGGCAGGCCGGACAGGCCGAGAGCGCAGGTCTCTTACAAAAAGCCTTGAACCCAGCTCGTCGAAAGTCTGGGGCAGGGCGGGAGTTGAAAACCTGACATCTTCGAGAGAAGCCCAAAGACGAAGCTCCACCGCGCTCCGAAGCTCCCTGCACTGGAGGTGCCGCAGGGAGGTGCTGTGCAGGCCCAGGCCCAGCAGCATACCTCGAGTGTTGAGAAGACTCCACCATAAAGGGAAAGCCAGTTGAAAGGAGAAGGCTGTTGGCTGGCCGGACTGGCTGACTAGCTGCCAGGCATCTGAGAAAACATTGGGTTCTACACGGCATCCGTATCCTGTCACATATGGCCATTTGCCGTGCTATGTCACAACTGGTGCACATCCGCTGGCATTTTGTATGGTTGAAGCATCTGAGACTTGGTCGGAGCGACAACTTTGGACGAATTGGAGAAGCTGATCCCCTTTGTTTAGGCCGAAGCCGAGGGCCCTCTCCGACGATCATCGAACCCGCTGTTGTCCTACAGTCATGTCTTTGCTGTTCTAAGAACCCAACGGGCTGTGCTCGTATGTAGCCTGTCTCTCGTAAACGCAGTTGTGCACTGTCAAACTGTCAAAGCTCCCCATTGTCCTCCAGCTTTCCGGCGGCCACCAGCCTTGCAGCACGCGGCAGGCGCGCTGGGGATCTTCGATTTGCTACCAGCTTAACTTGCAAGCCCGTGCCCCGAACACCACAGGTCCTGGTCGGGAACCCAAACGTGCAAGTGGCGCAAGTGGCCACAGGGGCAGCCGGGAGCCCAGTGAAGATACAGGCCGGCCGGCTTGAGCAACGCTGCTGCAAACCCCGGTACTGCCTTGCAGGTGGCCGGTAGAGTGCTCGTCACTCGAGGCGCTGACGGCACGCTGATGGCATTGGTTTTCAAGGTTTACGGAATATTTCAGTGACTGGTGTGTGCTTGGACATTTGGATGTGGACCTCCTGCAACCCCTACCCGAAGTTCTGCTTGATCATCTGTCCGTCGTATGCGTATGGGCAAGACAGCTCGAACTTAAATCTGCAACATGAAGACATGCACACCAGGAAGTCTGCAAGGTAAACACCATCACCCTACGAACGCTGAACAGATGTGTCTACCCTTACTGGCATACGGTCTGCATTTTGTGTATGTCTGCAACAACAAACTCTGTCAGACGATTCCAATCCAACAACCCTTTTGCAGGCACCGTTGGAGGATACCCAGCAGCCGACCTCACCTCGGCTTGCAGATCTGCATAGCACTGTAAGACTTGGCGCTTGCTGCGGTGACGACATGGAGCTGTTGGAGCTCAGTGGCTGTCGAGACTTGTTAACCACTTGGAAGCTACCAGTTGCGAGCAACATGCTTTTCATGCGCTGTATGACGACATGCAAATGCAATGAGGCACGGAACGCCTCCCCTGTGGCCATGCCCACCAGCCCAAACTGTCTGCCGGCGTCGTTGACAGCTAGGAACTTGCCTTCCAGGATTTGGGTTCAAAAGTAGCAGAGATGCCCGAGGGACACGCCTATGCAGTAGAAGACTCCACTGCAAGACGGAAGTTTCATTGATCACTCGCACATACCTACATCATAATGCGAGGCACGATGTAGGATTGGAGGTGCTGAGAGGATTTGTGTGGGTGTTCTTGGGTCCCTTTTCGGCGTTAGGCACTTGGCTATGTTCTGTTCGTCGACCAGAAGCATTTGAAGTGTGCAGCCTTGCGATGTTGGATGAGACATGGGCGCTTCCCAAGCCAAATCCTTTGATCGAGGAGCCTCTACAACCAGACACTCTGGTATCACCCGAGTAGTGCTGTGTTTATCCAGCTTGACCTCCAAACGTCTTGACATGTTCCATTGCTTCCCCCACACTGCCAGATGCCGTTTGTGCCACACCAGCCAGGGTGCCACGGCCTTACCTGCCAGGTCGCAGCTGTCCGTCAGAATGTACACGAGTAGCGTAGAATCGGACACGGCAGTACTGGTAAGGCCTGATGAAGCCAGTAAGAGTAAAGGTCCAGACAAGCTGCAACAACCGGCGATGATCCCAAACGCAACTATGATTCGATTGGCAGTTGAGGCCGTGGGATCCTGCATTGCAAGAGACGGCAACATCTCACGAAAGCCAGCAGTGCCTCTGAAGATGCAGCCTTACTCCAGGTTGCAAAAAAAGCCTCAAAGTCTTTCTACAAAGGAGTCAGCAGACTAAGCCTCACAGGCCGGCTTCCGAAGTTGATTCTTGCCAAGGGCCTCACGTGGACGATCACAGCCGGTCGCTGCGGTTCCGGCAGGCATTCGTTGCCAGTGAGCGAACTTCCTGTGGCTTAGCTAGGTCAGATGCGAAGTACGTGCCTTGCCAAAAGATTGCATGCCCTCTACCAAGCTCTGAACCTTGACCTTCTCCCACGGTCGAGAGTCTCTGCAGGCGCGTCAGGGCCCGCGCGGCCACAGCGTTCAGTCGGGCGCCGAGGAGCTTGGCAGGAGGGGACCTAAGCGGAAAGCCCGAAAAATCCGAGGCCACGCCGACACTGCAAAGCGGCATGGCTCCGCAGGATGGGGAAATCGGATTGCGCTGGTGCTTGTGTGGCCTGCCTGGCTCGGAGGTCATCCAGCGACACTCCTTGGGAGGAGCCTTCATGCAGCGACCAGGTGGACCTTGCCCAGACTTGTAGGAATTCGGATCGGGGGCTCAGCTCTGTCTGGGGTGGACAGACGAGCGGGGTGCGCAATTCCTCGCATCTGCATACGGCAAATGATAGCAAGTTGCTGCACCTGTTCATTCACGGGCTCCTTTTCACGTCAAAGTCGTCATCTCGCTCTGCTTGAAGCTTATCCAAAACATCACCGCCAGGCATTGCATGATTCCTGGAACGGTGGCTGCCTCCAGGCCTGCATGACGTGTTTCCGCGAACCTCGGCTGGTACCTTTCCGGTGCTTCATGTGGCAGAGCACTCCGACTTGTGGTAGAGGCATCTTGCAAACATGCATGGTGCCGTGCGCACTGTGTCTGCGCAAGCAAGCCTCGTTCTTTGTTGGTTTCAAGTGCTTCGCGTCGTCCGCCTCGGCCCGGCCGCAAGTGAAGAGGGCCCACGAATTGCTCGGGAGAAGGGGGGAAGCGGGCAGCACAAAGTTCTTTCTCTGCCAACAAACAACAGAAATCCCTTGGAGGACACGAAACTTCACCAAACAGCTCCAGCGGAAGGATGTTGTGCAGGAAACTCTGACCACTTCGGCCACTGCCGAGGCGAATTACCTTGGTCTTTAACTCACTCACACTCTCTCTCTCTCTCTCTCTCTTTGTCTCTCCGTGTCTTTTTAGCTCTCTTGTTCGTCCCCCGCTCTTTCCCTGTCTCTCTCACACACACATTGACATGGCCGCACGTATCCTTTCCTACCATGGGTGCGGTTGCCTATATGGTGCAAAGTGCCCGAAGAGTGTTGAGCGATCTCAAGCCCGAACCCAAGCCGAAATTGCAGGTTATCCCCTGCAACCTCATGCTCGCAAACCCACGTGGAGGTTGAGATTTAGCAGCTGTGTGCTGGATGTGGAAACTTGTGCCAGGACTTCCAGTTGGTTGTGCACCGAGTTTGCCGCGCATAGCCGTGGCCGAGCCAATGACAAGCTCAGTTGCATGCATGAGTGGAGTGACGGAGCGAGCAGCTTTGCGGCACAGTCCCACCCATCTCCTGCAATGGGTTTGCAGCAGCCAGCTTCAAGATGGCTAAGACAAGCTCTTCAAAGCAACACGGTTTTTAGCATATCCACTTAGTGGGTGCAGCCATGAGGCACCACGCAGTCGCCACCTGATAGCACGATCCGCATCCCAAACATTGATGAGTGAAGCTGCTGTGCCACTGATAATGCAGATGCCTCCGCGTCGACCCATGACCTGAATGGAATTTCGGAAAGTGCAGAAGCTGTCACGGCCGGTTCAGGGTCGGCGCCAGCTTTCACAATCACGAATTCAGCAGCCCGGTTCCCTTCGCGGTTGGGCATCGGAAGCTCAGATCCTTGGAAAGACGTCGCATGTTGATTTCCACTGCAATGCTGGCTTTCTACAGCACTTCGGAGTAGACAAGTTGTGTAATTTGCTGCAACAGCATGATGAGAGTCCTTCTTGGTTGCATTCAAGGTGTGAGGCTGCGAAGACTCAGCGTAAACTTCTGTTCAAGTTCACCTCAACAGGAAGTGTTTTCTAGCTCAGACTTGGTGAGCGCATTGTTAAAGTTGTAGGGTTAAGGATTTGCAGAATGGCGGGTGTTTGGATGCTAAGTCTTGGGGGGGACGCGAATTGTGGTGCAGTTCACCCAACATGACGAGAAAGTGTGAAGCTCACCGACCGTTTGGTACCACGACGAATCAGGTCACAAAGTATTGCTGTGATGGGGCCCGGCACACACACACACACAGAGCCCAACTCCGGCTGCAATCAGGTCTTTGCAAGTTTGTGGATCGCCCATTCCCACGTGATCCTGATTTTGTTGACAGGCACAAAGCGTCGTGGTCGAGCTTGTATGCCAGTGTATGCGTCTCGTACTAATGCGCTTGCAGATATGCAAGCATGCGCGCAGTGCCTGCAGCTGCCTGCGGCTTCTCGCAACCCCATCGACATCGTGCTATGGATCGTGATTTAGATTTGTGGTTCAAGCCCGCCAAGACCGGCCGGCCTCACCTCGGCATCACGAGACTCCAGGAGGTTCGACTTGGTCACTCCGTGTATTGCTTTTGCAGCGTTGCTGATGCAGGATGTGGATTCCATGGATGCCTCAGTACCACGTTTGGGTGGACTTTTCGGTTCACGTCCCGGTCGACTGGGGGAGCAGTTCCCAGGCCAGAGTCCGAATGCCCATTCTATGCCCTGTTCGACGGGGGTACTCTTGATCTCTGTGCAGGAGAGGAGGCGGGCGGCGGAGAGCGACTACGTGATAAACCTGGTGCAGAGCGTGCACAACAAGGCCAAAGCGGACCATGCGTCGCGGGCTCGGACCCTGTCTTGACCTGATGTTGCCAGTGGCAGGCCGCGTGGCAGCGCAGACAGGCTCTTGGTGTTTTTCAAGCCGCGACCTCAACTGCCGGTTTAATTCGTCTGCTTGTTGCAACATCTCCGCTTGCTTGCCAGGCCATCAGCGAGTTGTTCTGCTGCACGACATCATCGGTGGACACGGACGAGCTGAGGATCTGAGGCAAGCGGCCTTGCTACAAAAGTTGTTGCCCCAACAGCCGGGAACTCCTGCTGCTGCTGCTGTTGCTCAGGACATCTGAGGCCCTTCTTGGCAAACTGCGGACAAGAGTGGCCGAGGCCTCTACTGGGGCCACGATGGGGAAGCTTCGGCATATTGTGAAAGATTCAGCCTTCGTATGCAGCTTTTGTGCAACAGGGTGTTTTTGCAACCTTTTTAGATTTCCATTCATTAAGGTCCCTGGCATGGGGAGTCTTTGAGAAACCCGGCCATGGCCACAACCCGATGCATACCCTGCGAGCCTTAGCATTCCCATGTCCATAAAGGCCTCATAGACCTGGGCGTTACAGCCGGTGTACGGGCCATGCGCTCCATAACTTTCGCTGTTTAGCCCTGGACCCTGCAGGCCAGAAGGGACTGAACACCAACTTCAACACCGAACAAAGAGCCGCAACAGAAAGCTAGCAGGAATCACCTAGACCCTAAACCTGAAGCCTAATATATCCATAGCGGATGGAGGAGCACGCGTTCGATCCGGTACGTGCCGTGGCGGCGCTGTCACCTTCCTCGCTGCTTTGCCTCCAGCAGATTGGTGTTCTACCTTGCGCATAGTCATAATCTTCGTAGTTTGAGGTAGGTAGGTGTAGGTGTGTGGGTGTTGGGTGTGGGGGGGGTGGGGGAGGGTGTGGGGCTGGGGGGTGGGGTGAAACACTGAATGTTACACATCCAGGTGCCTGTCTGTTTCACGTATCACTTGCATGTATCCATGCCTGTTGCTCAAGGTTCTAGCAGAGTACGATCTACAGCTGTGCACCTGTAGTAAAAGAGACTCCTGTGTGCCTGT